TCAGCCTTGGTTCGGCTTAATACCGCTTTTGCCCGGGCATCAATTATGTCGGCTCTGGCCTTCGAGAGATCAGATTCGAGTTTCCCAATCATATCCCCTTGAACTTTGGCGTTGTCATGAGTCAAGCTGAGTTGGATCTCGAAGGCAGGGACCTTAGCCGAGGCGCTCATCTCCTCTAAAGCTCGAGCCTGCACTTGAGCCCTTAGTTCCTCGCAAGCAACTCTGACGCGGTTGTCGTCGCCTTTGAGGTACTCCAAGGCCTCCGCCTTTTTCTGCAACTGATACGGCAAAAGGGAATTAGCCTTAAGGTTAGAAGGGAGCGAATCACGTGCTACAGGAAATTACCCACCCCATCAAATAGCTCTTGTAGTTCAAGATCCGGTACGCCTCATAGCGCCAATACTGTTGCTCAACCTCTTTCTCCTCGCTAAGAAGCCTAAGAGACTCGCCCTCACCCAGAATTTTCTGAAGCCTGGCCCCTTGACGGAGCAACTCAGACATAAGCCTATCACAGGACTGCACAAGAAAAACTCAATAGAGGGAGGAGGACACGGAATACAGGGAAACAGCGCCTAAACTCACTGCGAAGTGAAGCGGACAGACTTTCTCGAAGTCAGAACATACTCCCTGTTGATCCTGCCTCTTCGGCCACGGGATAACCGGCCTCGGGCAAAGCATATTCACTCGAAGGCACCGCCGATCGGGAATCAGGTATTCCGAGAGCAACACACTCAAACGATGCCCTCTCCTTGGGAACACTAGCCTGATCAGCACCACTAAAATCTCCATCACCTCGCGGGTGCCGATCCCTCTTATCGCCGTCGTCCCTCGACTCGGAGGCCAGCGATTCTTTCCCCTCTTCGGAAAAACATTGCCTCGTCCCAAGGAACCGCCCGATATCTATAGATAGAGAATCCAGTACAAATAAAAGGGGAAAGTGTTACCTCGGGTATACGAAGGCAAGGCAAAGGCAGCATACGCACATACCTTGGTATTGCGCTCCCCATCTAGCACGAAGCACAGCTCGCCACCTGCGCTCGTCGCAGGACGAATGGATCACCAGCCTTCGGACCCAGCCGGGCAGATCATGGACTTCACCCGGCGTCCACGAAGTTGCTGCAACAAGGGAGACAACATTATTACTCAGCTGGTCTTCGCTATATGCGGAATCTGAAAAAAGCGCCTCACTCACGTGCATGATTCCACCCTTCGGGAAATGGCAAAAACTCTACAGGGATAATATCGGTCGTCCGGACTCGGACAAACCAACTGGCCCACTCTCGACCCCCGCTTTCCTCGTCATCAACAACAAAGGGTGTGGACGAACGACACCTCAGAGTTAGCAGGCTTCGATGATGAAAGGGCCGATATAGCCTGACAAGATGGTCAAGCGTGAATTCAAGCCCGGCCTTCTCCGCGAAGAATCTCATCATCAAAGCCGTTCGCCAAAACGACGGATGAATCTGTGCCAGGGTAACCCGATACTTCGAGCAAAAATCAAGCACAACCCTATCGGGGGGGCCAAATGCGAAAGGGTATAGGTGCACGCTCAAGAACCCATCAGTGGAGTCCACAATGCCCTCATCAGGGGAAAGCACCTGCAGTGTTAGCCCTCGCTCCACCCGCAGTACCTCCTCGCCATCTCTAGGTGTTCCTCTCTTATCAAGGATGCCGTCCCTAGAGCGAAGTCCCTCGGTTCCTGAGCACCAGGAGCAACTCCCCCTGTCGCCTGCTGGATCGGCCCCGAAGTGGTTCCCATGACTATGGTGAAACTAACAGGTCAAGGCAAGGGCACGCACCAACACTTTTGCGCCTAAAGAAATGAAGTATCCCGTGCCAAAGCATAAAGGTGGCTATCTAAAAGTAGTGAAGTCTTGCCAAGGAGTTGAAGCTGCCCCACACATATGCGAGAAGCGGCGATGTTCCGACTGCCCGAGGTGAGCCCCGAGAAGCCAACATCCTCGATACAGATCGACGGGTCGATATTCGATCCAAAAATCATCCTCCAATAAGAAGTCAAGACTCGAGGGGCCGTTTGTATTATCTCCATGCTCAAGGCAGCACTTTATGTCTAAAACCCCCGGCCCAAAGAAGTCGGGCCTCGGTGAGCTTTAAACACCGACACTTGACGCAAGGCAAGCACCTGGACTCATTGTCTCCTCTTCCTTGAAAGAGGAATAAACACAGGAAGCTCCGATCGCGAAAGCTCCACGAAGGTCCGAGCAAGCGCCCAAATACAAGCAAACTCTTCAGCAGAAGCCAATCCTATGCATTCTAAAAGGGTTATCTACATCAAGATCAATAGGGACCCCCGGGTACCCGAAGATGACCTTCATCCGGGATAATGTTCCCGAAGGCCCCGGAATTCGACGCATGATCTCCAAACAGCTCGAAGGGCCTCGATAGCCCGGACCTATCAGATCAACCCAAGGTTGGTCCGAAGTACGACGATGGATCGGAGGAGAGCCACGTCGATCAGCAGAAGGTCAGAATGGACGCTCGCGCTCAAGTCGGATATCAGTGTCCAACAAATAAATAAAGAAAAGGGGGGGGGGCATTCAAAGAGCCTCGAAGGGCATGAGAGCATACAGAAACAAAACAAAGTGAGGAAAGCAGAAGTCAGCAAAGTATATTCTTATTCATAAAGATTTGCATACAAGCAGCCCTCGAGGGGTCGTTACGTACAATTACAAAAGCCTACAAGAGTCTACACCTAAAGCGGAGGAGCGGAAGGATGTACATGTGATGAAACCCGGACGCCCGGTCCGCCCTCGAGAATCCATCTCCGATATCAGCATCCTCGGGCGTCGCACCCTCGAGCACGTATCCTCGAGGGTGACTCCTTCGACCTCCGCCTCTCATAGGTTCCTAGCTCAATCCCCCGAGGGATCCCCGCCGGAGAAGATGAAGAAGAGGAAAATGAGGGGACGCAGAGGAGGCAGAGAAAAGAGACATGGCCCGCCGAAGCCAAAGGTTGAAGATTCGGCGGGCCCCAGCCTCAACGGCCGGTAATGCCACTTTATCCCTTGGGAAAGAAAGAGCCCTAAGGATGAAGTGCCACACCAAGACCGAGTAGGAGAGTGAGCAGCGGTGCATAATCCGAACAGCTATCTACATAAAAGGGAAACCGGCTCCCCGTCCCTCATCACCTTGGGCCAGCAGCAACAAGGGCCAGCATACCGACGACCACAGCAATAGCGAGACGGCACGCTTATGTTCGACGAAGGGAGGCCCTGGCAGAAGGCCACAACGCAGTCTAAAGGAACTCCTCCAAATGGCCTTAAGATCGTAAGCCCCCAACATGATGTTCAAGGGTGAAAGAAGATGATAAGAAGGAAAAGGCAAGCAAGCCAACAGAAGCATTGAGATAGGAAAAACAAAGCCAAGGCACCCCCATTTATAGGGGATTACGACACGGTCATCTAGGCTCTGGAAGACTGACCGATGGGCGCAGTTAATGCATCCATGAAAAACTGAACCGACGGCGGTACCTGTGGATGAGGTCAAAAAGCACGAGCCTGTGAATGTCCAATCATAGCGAAGCTTACGCCAGGGGTCGCATCATCGATATGGCGTCGCCGAGAGGAGCTCGAGGAGTCAAGTGTTAGAATCATTTCCCATCACTTCGGTATGGGAAACGTGGAGACTATCTGTACGCGGCAAAATCAGAAGACTTGATTTCTCGCTATCAAGACATTTCGGAAGCATGCCCCGGGACCCCGAGGGCGGGAGGCCGCGATCGAGTTCTGGACCTCGGGGCTCGTCGAAGCCCGACTCGGAGGAAACAAAGAACGAAGCCAGGACAGAGGGGGAAGCCCCCTAGGCACATGGCTACGTCTGACAGGCCCGGCCTATCCAGAGCCTATGCTGAGGCATCATGTCAAGCCATCCCATCACCGTACTTTGTAATTAATCTCCACATGCTTGTAGCCGAGTCTCCCCTCCTATATAAAGGGGACTCGCCTCACCTTGTAAAGGACTGATGTTGCTCCATTTCTCCACAAGTGCAATAATCTCTCTCTCTCTCTCTCTCTCTCTCTCTCTCTCTCTCTCTACTTCTAAATTGTTCATTCTCACTGGCCCGAGGCTGCCTTAGCATTTATCGTTTTCTTATTTGTTCTTCACTACTTTGCTCGATATTGGTAACATAGAGCTTTGCTTAATCATATCTCCACCTGTTATCCCATTCCCGATTTCCCTCAGTAGCTCGAGCTCGGCTCGAACGCCGACCCCGAGGTCCCATCGACCATCTCTGCACCCGGGCAACAGGCCCCTTTGGTTTGGCTACTGCCTCGCTTTAACTTGCCTTTTCATCATTATATTTCACGTTCTTAGCATTAACTGCTTTAACAACTAGCTTGGGAATAGATCACGTATTTTTAGAGTCCCATTTACAAATTTAATTGTTGTTACCATTTTCACGGTAAACACCTTGCGTCTTGTATATCTTTTTTTTTTAAGCTCTTTTATCCTGTTGAATACCACATTTGCACTTCAATAATGATTTTGCTTTCAATATTTCACCACAAGTTAATTACAGTTAAACTAAATCGATTATTGTTCTTATATCAGAGGGGGAAGCGTGAGATGTAGACCAACTAAGCTTTAGAGTTCCATTAATAGATACATTATTTAATATTGGAATAAAAGTAGCCTGAATAGCATGGTATAATTTGAAGGTATAGCCAATTTAAGAGTCCGTTTGGACATAAGAAATTTTTCACTTAAACACATTAACACTTGCGTGCGTGCCCCTGCATCAGGCATGACATAACCCGCCCAACCCCTAAAAAAAATAGTGAAAACTGTACGGTAGTCAATTTTCGAACTGGTAATTAAAAAATAGTCAGCGTTTGCAAAGCCATTAAAAAATAGCCACTATTTTGCTGAAACACGAAAAGTTCCAGCATAATATGCAAGACTATAGAGCGCATGCGTATAAACTTCCAGCATATTATGTTGGAAATCCAACACACGAAAAGTTCCAACATAATATGATGGATTGTGAAGCTCCTGCGTATAAAATTTCTAACATATATGGTGGAACTCCAGCACATTAAAGGATGAAAATTAGATAAAAATAATTACTCAGTACTTAAATAAGTAAACTTAGAGCAATCCAGGGCAATAATAACCACCATTTTAGATGGCAGAGGAGGTTTATACGCTAAACCTCAAACCTCTTTTTTGGGCCTGCAAAGACTGATGATAAACTCAGGCGGATAGCAATATTTGATAGCTCCAGTAATTTGAAATGTTTCTATAGTACGAAGAGTGAGATTTCTAACTTTAACAGTCATCAAATATTGTGTTTGTCTCTCTGCATCCCCTAGAAAGGTCACTTTCTCAATCTTCAAAAACTCGTACTTAAAAACCTGCAACGAAAATAACCATCATTTGTACACAAAAAACATGTAAATCTATAATAATAATAATAATAATAATAAAGGTAGGCATACACTGCTTTCTTTGTCATTATATTCCAAAATAGCATGGTTAGCCATTTTCACCAGTTTGTCACCCTCTACTTCCTCAAAGTCCAGAAGTGGTGCATATTGAGTACGTAGACAACCCAGGGGAAATTCATCAATGTCAAAACCCTATCAAAAAGGTCATCAGTAATTAAGGAGTAATACTTATCCAACTTGTACAGCCAGTGATAATAATTTAATTGCACACATCTATATTTCCAACTTCAGTTACAGAGAGAGAGAGATTGCCAAACTAGTTAACAATATTCGACAAGTAGTGGTTGAGCGAGCAAAGCCAAGTAAGCAAATGCTAAAATCAGACCTCAGCTAAAATAGATCAAACAGGTCCACAAATGCCACCGCCTATTTACTATGATCATCATAGACTATTAATGCGTGCATTCCAGTATCGCGAAAATATTCCCCCATGACACAACCAGCATTAGGGGTGGCAAAACTAACATGGGGCCAAAAGTTGTAGACGAGCAGCATCGAATATTCCAAAGCATTCGCTTTTGAAAGGAATTGAACTAATTATGCCACAGTTCAGCAATCGGGTTCATTGATATTCCGGGTATGGCAGATGCTATCACACACAATCGTACTCAATTCTATGGAATTATTTGATCTTCAAGGAATATAATTCTTTCTTATTATTTAGCACAAGACAAAATGAACATGTGAAGATCCATTCACTTCACACTTCCTACTCCTAGGCTCAGTTTTCTTTTTTATTTCTTTGTTTGAAATGGGTTCAATTGATTTGTTTCAAAGATTGGGTTCTACGTGGGGGTCGAGCCATCTCCTTTGCATTATGCAAGTTGGACTGCTCCAGCAGATTGCATAAGAAAATTTCTTTTGCCATGTATAGGATTGTCTGGGAAACCCGAAAATGGAAACCCCTTCCTTAATCAAAACCAAAATAAACCAAATATTAAACAAGTTCAACTGTTTGGTAAGGGCAATTGCTAGAAGAATTACTTAAAAATCTCTAAGGCCAAAATGAACCAACAATGTTGCAAATTCCAAGTATCTTTTGTTCTTCTCTTTTTTTTTTGCTATGGTGAATTCTTGACTGTCTTATCATCTAGGGATGTGGTGGGATCCATCCGCTTAAGAGTTCTGGTGTTCGAACCTGGGAATAGAGAAATACTTGGTTACCTTAATGGACCCATACGAGGCGCAAATCTAAATTAGTCTGGCCAATGGGTACCAGATACCAAATGGTTAAAAAGAATTCTTAACTATCTTTTAGCACGTTAACATTTTCTGCCACACTTGGGGTTTTTTCTTAATCAAAGGGCTGCTAGAAGGATATATGACTGATAAGCCAAAAGTACGGAAGGAATTTCAGCCCGACCTCTTCCATCCAAAATAAGAATGAAACCAAGTCCATTCCTTACAATTTGACCTATTCCCCAAAAAAAATAATATAAGAAAGCTAAACTAAGAAGCTGAGATAAGGAGGACCCCTCTTTTACAAAATGAAGCAAGTTCATTCCTTACACACTTGGGGTTTGAGAAGAGCTTGAGGTCTTATCACCTCGGATGAGTCAGACAGTCAAAGTTTTAGTTCCAATCTATTTCAATATCTAATAAATGTAACTTCTAATTAATGAATCCAGTTCCCTAAGTAACATAAACAATGAAACTTATATCAGGGCAAAAGATATTATCATTACAACTTGCTAACTTTTAGTATATAATAAGATAGTTAGTTTTAGTTGGAAATCTGACCATTCCTCAATCTAATAACATTTGAAATAATGACAGCTCAAAAAGTCAGAAACAAAGAACAGTTTTGAACAGATCCATTCAAAGGCACGACAAGAATCATATGTTGCATAGTCAGACAAGATTGTTATTTTAGAAAGACTAGCGATCAATGATATACCATTGTTATGTAGGGGTTGCCTACCTGTTTCCATTTATCTAAGTGACTCAAATTCTATTCCTGATATTAAAGCCCTTGTATTTAGTCAACATATCAAAACATTGGTGATAGAGACTAATTTCCGGTATCAATACCGAATACCTTACTTTCATTACCATATCATCTCAAATCCCAACAGTTAGAGCCTGGGAAACTCTAATAACAGATTTACCAAACCCCTCCGATCTTGCAATTTTAGATAACTGTCTCAAACTCCTAGAAATTTCATCTGAATCAGGCTGCAAGAATTCCTTTAAATCCTTGAACACAACACCAAACCAATAGCTTCAGAAGAATTAGAGACCATTTCAGCCATTGAGATGAAAGCTCCCAACAGCTTCATGACCTTTTTCCTTTTCTTTTTTTTTCCACCACAGATGGCATGTTATATACTCTATATGCACCACAACTAGATAAGCAACTAATCCAAGAAGAATTATTCCTCTACTTTTCGACATAGTTCAAACCCATCTCAAGATCCATCTAAAGATTGAAACTTTATATAATACCTAACCAAACCCCACTAATAAATCTCAATCACTAGCTTAGAAACCCAACAAAAATGTATTTTTTTTAAAGATGAAAACTCCAGATCCATCTTAAGATTGAAACTTTATGTAATACCTAACCAAACCCTACTAATAAATCTCAATGACTAGCTTAGAAACCCAAGAAAAACGTATTTGTTTTTTGAAGTTGAAATTCAAGAAAACTCCCCAAGAGCTCAAATTGAAGAAACCCAACAGTGAAAAGTTGAATCTTTGCAGGAACACACTAGTGATATCAAGTAATAGTGATAGAGACTAATTTACGGTATCAACACCGAATACCTTACTTTCATTACCATATCCTCTCAAATCTCAACAGTTAGAGCCTGGGAAACTCTAATAACAGAGTTACAGAACTCCTCCGATCTTGCAATTTTAGATAACTTTCTCAAACTCCTAGAAATTTCATCAGAAACAGACTGCAAGAATTCCTTTAAATCCTTGGACACAACACCAATAGCTTTAGAAGAATCAGAGACCATTTCAGCCATTGAGATGAAAGCTCCCAACAACTTCATGACCCTTTTCCTTTTCTTTATTTTTTTACCACAGATGGCATGCTATATACTCTATATGCACCACAACTAGATAAACAACTAATCCAAGAAGAATTATCCATTTCCTCTACTTTTCAACATAGTTCAAACTTTTCTTTAACAACTCAAGATCCATCTAAAGATTGAAACTTTATATAATATACCTAACCAAATCCCACTAATAAATCTCAATCACTAGCTTAGAAACCCAAGAAAAATACCCACTAATAAATCTCAATCACTAGCTTAGAAACCCAAGAAAAATGTATTTTTTTAAAGTTGAAAACTCAAGATCCATCTAAAGATTGAAACTTTACATAATCCCTAACCAAACCCCTACTAATAAATCTTAATCACTAGCTTAGAAACCCAAGAAAAATGTACTTTTTTTATATAAAAAAAGTTGAAATTCAAGAAAACTCCCTAGAGCTCAAATGGAAGAAACCTAACAGTGAAAAGTTGAATCTTTTTAGGACTACATTAGTGATATCAAGTAATAGTGATAGAGACTAATTTCATGTATCTGTAATACCAGAAACCAAAACCAAACTTAGTTTTCGCTACTGAAAACCAAAATCAAGATTGATAATTACTTACACTCAGACCAAAAACTCCTCACAATATAAATAAACATCCTAATTAGGAAGCCTACACAACGAATTAAAAGCATATGATATCTATCTATCTATCTATGGGTATATGAAGCTAGACATATACAGGAAGTGAAAATTAATTAAAATAAAAGAAAGGGAATTGAAAGAATACAAACTTCGCTCCGGCAGATCTGAGTCCAGCATCTCTTATGAATATCCCGAAATTCTTCACGACGCTCCTTCATGGGGCAAAAATATTCAGAGTTCCAGACTCTCTCAAGATCAGAGGTTAGCATATCCAAAGTGCCTTGAGAGTCTCCCATCGTTTGGTCTGATTTCTACGACGAGGAACCAAAACCCAACTTCTTTCCTTTTATAGATGGACATGAAATCCAAACACAATATGGTTCCAATCTCTTCTACTCTGACAATTGAACATACTTTTGGTCCTCATTAATTACTCTTCCCTAACTATATAGATGAACTTTTCATGCAATTTTTAATTGCAATTCTCACTCAAAACTAATCCAAATCTCCACCAAATAATATTGAATGTTATACACAACCTCCTTAGACTCTACGGGTTGTTTGGTATGAGTTATAATAAGGTATAGGGGTGGTAAAAAAATTTAATACCATCTTAATATTATATTTGGTTAGCAAACTAGGTATAAATAATCCCGGTATTAACATTAACATCGGATAACTTATATCTTATAGAGGGGGTAATTAGCACCGATATAACTTATACCTTCTTCTTAGAAATTATGCAATTGTCGTTCTTAATACAATATACCAAATAGTGAATAAACAACAATCACAGCATAACTAATCCAACTGTAACTTATCCTAACATAACTTATACCGGCGTAATCCGTATTTCAACCAAACAACCCCTAAATTTCTTATAAAAGTCACGTTCAAAATTCAAACTCACTTCCTAAAACTTGTTCAATAATGATAGATTACCTTTCTTAATCTGAGTTTGAACATCTAAATCATACAAAATCAATATTTTAACGGGACCTGTCAAATGGGCCGGGTCGTCTCATGAACCGACCCACATAACCCATTAATCGGTCCATGACCCACGAAATCCTAACCGGATCAACCCATTAATTTAAGGGGCCTAGGCCGGACTATAATATTTGACCCACTGGATCGGACCCGAACCGGTAGTTGACCACGAGTCAACCGGCTCGAACCAACTCACATATATATCGGACAAGTGGTAAAAAATTAAATCCAAACATTGAAGAAAGAATATAGTACAAGACACTATGAGGCGTCTTGTCGAAATAGTCGAATTCCATATGTTTTAAACTACTATTAGTTATAGAAATAGTCGAATTCCATACGTTTCTCAAGTTTTAATGTTAATAAAGTATGATTTTTCTTTCACTTTTATTCTAGTTGGCTTCAAGGACATGTAGTAATTTCAAGCTCGTATATATGTATAAAGTTTGAAATATTTATCATTTATTAGTTTTAGCTTTTTTTTTAATTAAATTGCATTCGGCCCATTAGGTCCTAGGTTAAGGGGTTACGGATTACGGGTCTTGGTCGGGTCAACATGTTTTGATTAATGGGTCAAATCCGGACCCGGCCCCTATAAGAAAGTGAACTGGACCGGCCCGGTTAAGGACCCACGAGCCAAGAGTCAACGGGTTCGGGTCTGGGTTGGGTCGACCCATTTAACAGGTTTAACCATTGTCTAAGCTCCAAACATAACGAAAATTGAGTTTGTCAACTACTCAATCAAGAGATGGCTGGATTGAAGAAGAGAAATATGAAACCCCAAAACTTCAAATCTCCCGATGGCTAAAATACATGCTCATTTGGTTATATATGCGATACTACCAATAAGCACTACTAAATATTAATATCAACCTTACCAAGAAAAGTTACCGTTGTAAATGCTCTATTCTCTCTCCTTAAACCAAACGATTCCCTTTCACGCGCTTCCACTATTCTGCCATAGCCGATCTCAAATAGGTGTGTATGGCACATACAAAGGATCCCCCGGCTAAGGTGATCCCACCCACTGCATCAATTTCATCCACAACTAACCTAATCCCATCAGACCTAGTTCATCTCCCTCCTTGAGCCAACTCCTCAAACATATCGAAATCTCCCTTCATGGATAAGCTCACAGGAAATTCACACATTTCCATAACTCAAAACCACCGATTGAGGTCAGAAATGGGACATATATGTGTAAATCAATTGTCTTCTTTATTGCAGAAGTCTATTTCGTCAACTTAGCAGAGGCATGTAAGCTTACGTAGGTTGGGAGATTTCTCAGGAATAAGCCTATAACGGAAAACATAAGGAAGAGCTTTTATTAGTCTGTACGCACTAAATCTCCAGTTAAGATTGCATACTTTGACCCCAAGCACGTTTATATTAATTTCACCACACTTGTTGACTACAATAATATATACTTCAGAAGACTATACACACTTATGAAGCTCCAATGAAACTACTTCCATGGTCTACTGATTTTGTGCCTGAAATTGAAACACCCTTAGCTCCTGTTTGGATACTGCTACATCAACTCTTGTGGCACTTCTTTCGCTGGGACATTCTAACTAAACTAGTCTGCTCATGGGTCAAGCACTAGCCCTGGATCAAGCCACCTTCTCAAAGCCGAGGGGAAATGTGGCAAAATTGAGAATTGAAATTGACATTTCCAAACCAAGACAGGAGGAAATTTGGGTACAGTAGACTAGAAAATGGCAACGAGGATGGTTTTTTGTTCAAAGTCGAATATGAACAAGTTCCTGACTACTGTCATTATTGTTGTATGAAAGGTCATGCCGAGAATGTTTGCTATACCAAAACGAATGACATGGAGCATAGAATGATGCAGGATAAAGGTAAAGAAAAAGAAGTAATAGCAACTGAATCCACCCCAATATACAGAATGATAAGGATGAGGCGCCATTCCAACAAGTGAAGAGGAAAAGCCGAAAGAAGACAACTCAGAAATATGAAGAAAAAAAAACTGGAAAGATTATCCAAATGGAAGAGGAACAAACCAGGAATGCATTTTAAACTTTAGCGGACATAAACACTCATGAAACGAAAAATATTATAGAGAAACATGTTGAATCAAAAAGAAATGTTGGCAAACACAACAGCAATACCAACCTGCAAGTTCAACAAACTATACAAATCAATGATCATCAATCTATCCAGAAAAGCGACCAGCCTGTTAAGCTTATAGACATTCCTGAAACAAGTACCAAGACAAATCCTAAACAAAAGTCCAAATCTACCTTCCATCAATCAGTGCGCCATATCACGCCTCTTGAGTTGAGAACTAAATGCAAGCAAAACACCACTACTACCACTGTACACATACCCCAAAAGAGCCCAACCCCTACCCAAATTGACATATTGTACAAGCTCATTCTCACCGCACAACATTCCCAAAAATTCATAACCACAACTCAAATATGTTATCCATAAAAAGACCAAGAATCAACCCCTCATGAAAATATTTTGCTAGGCAATCCTTCTCAACCACAAGATGCTCCGGACCTTTCACGAGACAACATGGATACGAATGATAATACCGCTCAACTGTCTACCTCATTTTATTCCTGAATCTCCTAAGAACAAAGGAGATAATGAAATACATAGCCAACCTTTTAAATCCATAGCTAAAGACAAGTTACAAGTTATTTAGTCTAATCCCCAACATGAGCCTTTTCAAATCAGTATCCCCCTAAGTTATGTCCCTCCTGATATTGGAAATGAAGTCGTGTCAGATGATGATAATGAAGAATATGAAAGTATCAATGGAAATACTTTTAGTGAAGAAAGTGAGGATAATGGCACTAAAATAGGCAGTGGAAAGGATGATGATGATAATACTGAGCAGCTCATTGATACATTTGGTCCTCATATGTTATCTAACCCCAATGTCTCACAGGAATTAGAGAAATAATAGGGAACCACAACCTATCACCAAGGGGACAAAGCTCTTACAAGAGAGAAAAAAGTAGAGGGGGAAGGTAATGCCCCTCTAACAAGATCAAGAGCTAAGTTCATCACCCCTGCCCAATCTTTCTCATGATTAGTACACTTATATGGAACATTAGAGGCATTAAAAATGCCTTTGAAAGATTAAAGTTCCTGAAACTTAGGTTATGTTTGGTATAACGGAAAATATTTTCCGTGGAAATTTATTCATTTTTCGGTGTTTGGTACCCAAATTAAGGAAAATGACTTCTTAAGAGTATTCATAAATAATTTAGATACAATAAACATGAAGCCATAAACTTTCAAACCAACAAACTTCCGAACGCACAAATTTCATAAACTTTCGAAACCGCGAAATTTCAAACCTGTAAACTTTATAATTTCTAAACCCGTAAACATCCAAACACATAAACCTCCAAACTTATAACTTTGGAACTTGTAAAATTTTGAACCTTTAAACCGATAAATAAATAAACTAAAACTGATAAATATATTTAAAAAATATTTTTTCGGGGGAGGGGGGGAGTGGGTAGAAAAACGAAAAAAATAGAAATTTGAAATTTAAAAAAAAAAGTAAAAAAAAATTTGTGCGGGGGGAGGGGGGTGGGTGGAAGTAATAATTTTTTTTGCGGGGTGGGGTGGGGTGGGGTGGGGTGGGGTGGGTGGGGTGGAGGGGTAGTAGGGTGGGTGGTAATGGAAAAACTGAAATTTGAAAACAAAAAAGTCATTTTTGGAGAGAGGGGGTGGGTTGGTGAGGGTGGGGAAGGTTGAGAAAGAGTTTTTCCAATTGGAGGAAAATGAGTTCATGAGGAAAATATTACCCAGAATATTTAAGCCAACCAAACATGGAAAAATTGGAAAAATATTTTCATTCATACCAAACACACCCTTAACAACAAAATCTCTTTTAGCTATTCTTGAGCCTTTTTCTGGTTGTGAGAAGCTTCAAAAATACAAAAGAATGATAGGTTTTACACATGCTTTTTGCAACATTAACAACAAGATATGGGTCATGTGTGAGGATGACAGGGACTATACTATTATGGACAATCAAGAGCAGTCCTAACATGTTCCATCAAACTAAGCAGTGATGAAGAACTTTTGGTTTCCATTGTTTATGCTATAACCAAGTCTGACTTTAGAGTTCCACTATGGGATGATCTTAGGAGACTCGCTTCTGCCATTATTCATTGGTGCATGGTAGGAGACTTCAATTGTATTATCGAAGCCCAAAAGAAAGAGGGAGGCCTTCCTCATAAACATAAAAAAGCCCTTCCTTTTATTAATTGTATCCTGGATTGTGATCTTGTAGATATGAATTTCTCTGGCTCCAAATTCACATGGTATAATGACTGGGCTCCGGATAAGAGAATTCTAAATACTCCAATTTATTAGTTACTCATCTCCATAGAGTTAACTCTGACCATACACCCCTTTGGTTTAGGATTTCTAAAGCCGGGAAGCCACCTATGAGATTCTTTAAGCTCCTCAACCTTTGGACCAGTCAAGATGGGTATAAAGATGTTGTTAAAGAAGCATGGATCGATGTATGATAATCCTTTCCGGACCTTCCATTAAAAACTA